CCCCCGGAGCCCCCGGCGGCCCCTACGGCCCTTGCGGCGGCGCCCGCTGGAGAGCACTCCCCGGGGACCCGCGCCGGGCATTTAAATGCTCCCTGGCTCCGCGATTTGCCTTTCAAATGGTGCTAGGCCCGAGGTGCGCCGGCTGCGCCCAGGGATCGGCAGCGGCGGCCTGTGCAGCGCTCTGGGAGCGGGGGAGGGGGCGTCCTGCGGGGCGGCCGGCTTGCCTTCACGCCCAGGACCCCGGACCTTTCAACAAGTCCTCTGATTCGCAGAAGTCCTTGCACCATTTACACACTTTGGGCCGGAGCCCCTGCGAAAGGAGATGGGTCAGGTTCCTCTCTCTCGGGCGACCCAGCCACCTGCGGAAGGTGTGGCCAGCGCCCGCAAGTTGTCCTGTGCGGGAAGGTGAAGGGGCCGCGCGATGCCTCCACCCGGCTATCTAGTGCAGAGAACCTGTAAATTGCCCCAGGATGTCCAAATGAATGCCAAGGATTCAGCCATGTGGATGCAGCTCACGTTTCTACAAAGTTGAGAGAATAAATCACGACTGCTGTGTATTTATGCACGAATAAAATGAGGCAGAGCCTTATTTTCCTTTGGTTAATGTAATGCTGTCTCTTTGCACACAGTGGGTGCTTAATAAGCGTTGAATGCCTGTTTAGTATGGGATTTGATGGACCGTTGGGAATGAGAATAATCATGGAAAATGGCTACATGTCTTTCCAGAGTTAATTCTGATGAGTAATTGACCAGATTTGTTTTAAACTCTCCAAGTTTTAAAACGTCTGTGTAATAGCTTCTTTTATCTCCTCTGATAAAGGTGTGGCTAAAGATTAGCTAAGCAAATTTTGGTAGTCTTAAAGCAGTTTACTGCAGTAACAAATATGCTGATTCATATCATGCTTGAATAGTCATAACTGAAAGTACTTGAAAGTGTAAGTCATGGTTTTCATGATGGCTAGTTTAAAAAAAATTCAAAGCTCCAGTAATGCAAAGTTCAGTAGAAATTTTGCACGTTAAGTACGTCCCATTGCTCCCAATAATAAATAGAAAATTATAAATATAAATAATATAACTAAGTATTGTATAACTTAATGTAAACACTATTTCCTGACCTAGGGAAGGCTCTCATTGCATATCCCATTTATTCTTCCTAATAGCTATTTCAGGATAAACAGTAATTTATGTAAGCTGAATAATCATTTTGACCTGTTACCTGCCTTCTTGAAGAAGGTGGTTAAGAGAAAATATAAGGGATATTTATTAAAATACGTAGAAGACTTACATATCTTGAGGATTTAGTTTGTGATCAGTTAGGTGATTTAAAATGAATGGTTATCTTAAGCATTTTTCCCTAAGTTTGCTATAATTGTCTTCATATTGTGCAGTTCTACTTTCTAAGAGTGAGAAGAGTTTTGTAAATTTTTCTAAAACTCAACTTTTAAGTAACAGTATTTCATCCCTAAAGGGCTAGTGTTTTACTATTAATAGTGAAATATTGAGCACTTAAGTTTGTAACAATAACTATGACTTAGGGGCAAGTCTAATAACTACTTTGGAAATAGTCTGGACCAGTAAACTTTATGAAAAGTAAATGTTCAAAAAGAAAAGAAATGAACAAACATTTGAAATTTCCAGCCTCTCTTAAACTATTGTGTATCGGGACCAGCAGTTAGCGTAATGGCTATGTCGTTGGACTCCCATGTAGTCGACCGTGGTTCGAGTCCCGGACCCGTACTATTAATAGTGAAATATTGAGCACTTAAGTTTGTAACAATAACTATGACTTAGGGGCAAGTCTAATAACTACTTTGGAAATAGTCTGGACCAGTAAACTTTATGAAAAGTAAATGTTCAAAAAGAAAAGAAATGAACAAACATTTGAAATTTCCAGCCTCTCTTAAACTATTGTGTATCGGGACCAGCAGTTAGCGTAATGGCTATGTCGTTGGACTCCCATGTAGTCGACCGTGGTTCGAGTCCCGGACCCGGTGGCTTAAACTCACGCCGCTGGGTGCGTGTGCGTGCGTGCCGAAGATCCAGAGAGGAGAAGGAAGGAGAAGGGATTGCGGCGTGGCCATCCCCCCGGGGGGGTGATTTCTAGCTTTCTGTCTCTCTGTCTCTTTCTGTCTGGCAAGCGCACGCGCCCTATAGCAAAAACCTCTCAAAAAAATACTATTGTGTATCTCACCTGAGGACAGGCCTCTTACTTTCAAAGTAGCCCTATAGGCAAAGAGATTTAAGAATTGTTTTCAAGAAGAACAAAAACATCCTGTTTCATAGATATGTCATATAAATATACTTTTGATGAAAAGACATAAGTGAAAACAGATAAAGCATTCAGTGAAAGTTCTATACATGTATTGTTAGGTGGTGCTTAACAATTTCTGTTTCAGTCTATAAGTTTTTGGAAACAATTGATGGTTATTTTTAATGATTGACATACCTATTTCATGTCTTTGTTAGTGAGTTGCTATATTGCAAAGATTTGTGAAGACTATGAAGAGATGCATGTTGTTTTTCTTTTAATTTCCTGGATCTTGTTATTTAATAATCTTAAGAGTACAGATATGCTTAGGTGCTAGTTCCATTTTGGGGACCTTTCTAGGTTATGACCATTTAACCTAATCAAAATGTTGAAGCAATAATGAAATGAAGTATGCTAATATGGCATATTTTTTGCTTGACAAATTTTTCAAGGCCTATAGTTTTCATTATAATTGTATTTAGTTCAGATTAACCAAGTGCACTGAGAGTAGCTTTCTCTCTCTGTCATTTTGTACATTTAGCTTTCGTTTTTAACAATTTTTTTCTCTTCCCATAAAGAACAAAGATTTGAGCTTTAGAGCTAAAGAAGTGTGATTTTCATCCTCTTCTGTTTCAGCTAATTTCCCTCCTCCTGGATGAATGCTGAAACTGGGTCCTGTACTTTTTCCTGTGTTTCACTGCTGGCTAAGTACTGGAGGTGCTGCCTCAGTGTACTACCTAAGTATCCCCACGCAAATCCTCCTCCATTCCCCACTTAGATTGCCGAGAAATCCCATAGCCCTGCAACCGTGAAGTGCTTCTCTTCAGCTTTGCTATCATTTCATTCCTATTCCTGGCTCTAGAGACAAGAAAAGATGATGAGGGTTTGTCTGCTATTCATTGTGATTAGATACTTAAGTTTGTTACAAACACTCTTGACATGAACATCCTAGATAGGTGAAGTTAAGCCGGTAACTAGGAATCTTCGCAATACCAAGAGCACTAAATTTAGTATGGAAGCTCATGCCCCAGACTCATGAAACGCCTGCTTTGACCCTACATCCCTGTGTTACGAAATCATTAGGCTTTTGGTCTCAGAAGGACAGCTGTTGAGTCATTCTTACCTGATTCAATTACTTGGTGTGTCTGTAAAAGTACCTCTTCCTCTTGAATTTATTTATATAATAATGTATATTGAGCACCTGCTTTGGGCCAGACAGAGCTCTAGTCACCTCAGGTGCTTTAGTGAACAAAATAAAGGCCCTAACTTCAGGGAACTTAAGCTATCCTGGAGGGAGACAGAAAACAATTGAAGTAATTATATAGTATGTTGGAAGTGATACAGAAAAAAGATAGAGCAAAGTAAAGATTGGTAGGAAGAAGTGTTGGAATTGTAAATACATTGGTCAGGATGGAGCTCACTGAGAAGGTGATAGGGGAGCTGAAACCCTGAAGGAGGTCTGAGTTAGCCATGAGGACATATAAGGAGCAGCGAGGTACAGGCAGAGGGAACAGACATTGCAAAGCAGGAACTTATCTCTTGAAGGGAAACACAGGAATCTAACTCGGTTTATTCTCATGATGACACTGAATTGGCAGGTCATTTAGAAGTTTCTTCCAATGCCAGGAGCCTAAGCTTTAATATTTTTTTTTAACATTTTTTTTTTGGAGAGGTTTTTACTATAGGGTGCGTGCGCTCGCCAGACAGACAGAGACAGAGAGACAGAAAGCGAGAAATCACCACCACCCCCAGGGGGGATGGCCACGCCGCAATCCCTTCTCCTCCGTTCTCCTCTCGGGATGTTGGGCACACATGCACACGCGCCCGGCGTGAGTTTAAGTCACCGGGTCTGGGACTTGAACCGCAGTTGACTACATGGGAGTCCAGCTACATAGGCATTACGCTAACTGCTGGTCCCAGCTTTATTGTTTTTGATACAGACTTATGTGCAGGGATCCCGCTAAGGAACAGAATTTCATTGACTAAAAATGTCTTGCGTTAGCTCTGACTTGACCCCAAATTATTTTCCTCTTCTCCAAAGCCCAGGTAATAAATCCATGGTGCTTTGTTTCCTAGAGTGAATTTAGGAACCATCTAATTTGAAAAAGGCCTAA